TTTTGAAGAGTTTTTCCGCCATCTGTTGGTAAGTAATGGGTACTGCATGAGAATTTGTATTTACAGTAGGACGCCTTTGTCCGTAGTGACGTACAAGCGAGGAAGGCGTGGGGTCAGATGGCCTTGGCGAAGGGTCTGAAGCCAATCCTGCTGACTACGGGATTCGAACATAGGACTTTCGAGGTTTTGGGGATGTGCCCTAATTAACTCAGATAGCTACACAGCGCCCTGCTACATGTTCTAAAATTAATCTAAAAAGTAAAGATTTATTGACATAATAAGGACGTATTATTCCTTTTCTCCTTTCGTACTCCTTACTCATACTGTATGTGACTAATATCACTCGAATTGCATTTTTTAGCTCGCTTGTTTGTCTCATGCCTGTTTAGACTGTTGAGTAAAGTTTATTACAAAAGAATTGACTGCAAAACAGGACGGTCCTCTTTGTTGCGATAATTGAGAAATGTTCTGTAGAACTATTTAAGGCCTAAATCTGTAGGTATATATTATCATTGTTGGCGTTGTTAACATAAAATTCTCTGACAGAGTGAAAAAGTTCAAATGTTGCCATCAGGTATTTACTATATCGGAGGACACAAGAATTCGACTGATCTGAACAACTGACTTTCAGACCTTTCGGCAAAATGTCAATGTCCGGAGACCGGAGCGCTGCTCAAAATGAAAGTTTGCACGATTTGTATCTTAATGTATTTGTGTTTATTTCGTAATTTTTGTAACAAAATTCTTCGACGCCATTGCCAAAAGCTTCTAAGTAACATTGCAAAAGAATAAATTGTGGTATCAATTCCGATCGTCTCCTATTACTTAGAATAACCTGAATAATCTATATTTGACACATAGAAAGTTAGTTATTTTGATACACTTCCTTACAGGCTTTGTTAAAGCCTTTCATCTATTTTAACCTGCTATGAAGATGAACGATTTATTTGATTTACGTATTTCATAGACGTAAATAAAGACGACACACCTTTTATTCCCCAAACTAAAAGGGGTAAGATCATCAGGGAGTAAAATGTACAAAATCACTGAACGTTCCATTTATTTTCATCAGAAATATTTGTTTCTTCCTAGAAAGACGTACTTTGTGTTTCACACATGTTTTCCGTGATAGTTCAGTCCGTAAACAACTCTAACAAGATAATCGGGGGAGTACGGCGCGCACATTCGCACTGATAAGACAATGACGTAAGGGAGCTGAAGACAGGCTGTGATCAGATCACACACTGAGGGTTCATCTGCACAAAACACCAACAGAATAATGTTTTCACTTGTAGCAGTTAACAGAACATTAGTACATTTATTTATTGTGTTTGAACCATTGTATTAAGGAATTACTGTTTTTTTTTCTACTTTGAAAACTATAGAATGTCTTTATTAGCCAATCTACAACAGTGTAGGGGAACCGTCCACTGGCCCAGTGGCGGAATCCAATTGGACAGCCGAAGGCTTGGAATGCGTGTGGATCCTTCCGAGCGCTCCTGTAAAGTTACTTACCCATTTTAGGTAAAGACCGAATTATATCTGACTCCAATTTAATTAAAGATCTTTATGGCGATTTTAGTCATGACATTTCTGTTAATTAGATTACTCCAGGGCTGTGCCTTCTATTGCTGAACCCCCACTAATCCCGGACAGTGGGGCACACTGTAATACAGTGCCAGCCTAGATGCCCGTCAGGACCCGGCGACCCATAACGCCTCAGAGGCTCAGCTGACACTTGCCGAGTCTGAGATAATGAGGGCCACAGAGGTTAAGCAGATGTCTGCCGTAACCCAGCGTGTGCACGCCTCAGAGGCTGGGCCGGACTTTGCCGTAACCCAGCGTGTGCACGCCTCAGAGGCTGNGCCGGACTTTGCCGTAACCCAGCGTGTGCACGCCTCAGAGGCTGAGCCGGTATTCACCGTAACTCAACTTGGGCAGTCGCAACTGTTGATCTTATCAATTCTCAGACCCTCAGCCAATCAAATTGCTTTAGGAGGAATGTGACAGTTCCTTCTTTCTACTGTACCAGGTGATAAGATCCTCCACTTGGGTTTAGTCTTACATTCTATATTTCTCTTATGTGAAAACATACTGCTTTAAGGTTGAGAGTACTGTGCCCGTCATACTGTGACCATTCAAACGAGACCAAACATGGGTGTATGTGTCCCTGATGTTAGTCTGAGGTAATACCTCCTGTATTGGTGTGAGTTAGCGAGTGTAGGGTGTATCTGTATCTTGACGTAATCAGGTCTTGTTACTGGAATTTGGCTGCAGGGTTCTGGCTGTCCAGTGGGGGTGAGGTGTCCTTTTTGATGTGGTGATCAGGTGATTTGGGTCCAGTTTTGTCGGAGCCGGTGGATCTTTGCTTCAGGACACTGGGTGGAGCATCACAGGCTTGCCAGAGCTCAGACTAACCACTAACCATAAAAATAACAATAAAAATTAACATTTGTAAAGTTTTGACTAAAGGGAAGAAGACTGCTACCCTGGTTGTGCTGGCAGAAGGTATCCAAGATAGCAGTAAACTAGAAGAAGGTGAAGCAGGAGACACTGGGAACAACCAAAAACCAGTTAAGCACAAGGCAGAAGTGGCTTTATAATGTAAGGGAGGACAACCAACTCATCCAGCAATGCCTCATGAATCGAAGGATGACATCAAGTGACCTTCAAAGAGATTGAGAAACTGTAAGTGGTGTGAAGTGCACAGTCAGGATGATTTAAAATAGGCTCCTAGAAGCAGGACTGAAGTCTCACAAAGCAAGGCAGAAGTTCTTCATCAATGAGAAGCAGACAGGAGCCGTGCTGGAGCTTGCAGAAGACCATTTTGAGTTTCAGCTCTGCCCAGCTCCTGAATTTTTGATGACTAGACAAAGACCTGGAGAAGCTACAAATGTATGGCAACTACTGTAAAATTTGGTGGAGTATTGCTGATGATCTAGAAGGGCTTCAGCACGGCTGGGATTTGGCAGGTCTCTGTAAAGGGCATATGATTCAAGCAATATTTAAGGTTGTCTTGAAAGAATACTTGTTTACATCTGCTCAGACCATGATCCCCAACAGGATATTCCAGCAGGACAATGCTCCATGCCAAACATCCTGGTCAGAGGTGGACAGTTCAAGTCCAGAAAGTAAAAATCCAGACCAAGATTTTGTTTCAACCAACCAGCTGAGAATAAATAGTCACAGTACTCAACTGGTTGGCTGAAATAAAATTTTGGTCTGGATTTTTACTTTCTGGACCTGAATCACCCACTTCTGAGCCTGGTCAATAAAGGTGTGAATGGAGGAACACCAAATCATGGCCCTGACACAGCGTGCCCACTCTCCAGACCTGAACTCCATCCTAAACCTGTAATATTATACAGTGGAAGATGGATAGTTATAAGCCATCAATCAAAATTGCAGTGCAAAGCTGGTGCAAAGTCAATGTGAAGGACTGTGAAAGATCAAAGTCAATGTGAAGGACTGTGAAAGATCAAAGTCAATGTGAAGGACTGTGAAAGATCAAAGTCAATGTGAAGGACTGTAGTGTGGCAGCATGTGAACTGCGATGTATATCCAGGGTCATGCCACCAAATTTTTATTGTTGAACTCTTCATAAGTAAAAAATATTATTTAATATGGGTAAAAACTTGTTCAGTTTGCATCAATCACTGTACAACAACATTGTATTTTTGGTACTATGGTATTCTGCAAATAAATGACAACATTTTTGTTTGGATTGGAATTTGGAATGAAATGTGCTCAAAAATTTATAAACAAATATAAAAATGTATAAATTGTAAAAACAGTGAAACTGTGGTGTCTTCATTTTTTCCAGAGCTGCATTGCATATGACTATAACTTGCATTTTGTTTCTATTTTTTGTACGATGAGCTACGTTTGTTGTTATTCACAAACATTAAAAGTTCCCTACGTTTGATTAGTTAAAGGAAAGATGGGAATGAAAAATGAAAGCCATTAGAACAAAGACAAAAACAATAAATTTGGAGGGAAACCATGAGTAGTTACAATCAGTAATCAAGCACTTTGCAGTAAAGTTAAAACTATGGCTTATAGAAGACACTCTTCAAACTACTTAATAAACTCACTTAATTAAAGGCATCGGAGTAGAAATAGCCCACTATCCACTTCTGAAGTGTGGAAAAAGCCTGCTTTGTCGCCATCAGTGGCCGGCTGACACCATTCAGGATGTAGGTTTAAATTAAACCACTAGGTGGAGATATTCCACAATGACGACGACTTAGGTACAGATGCCGTGTCGATTTCCATATTTGTAGTATGAAAACTCTCATTGTAATTGTATATGCTAAATTTGTATTTAAAGCTAATAAGGTATGCGCCGTGGGTGGTTGATTTACCGGATTTTGCTGCTTTGGGCAATAGCTGGGCAAAAAAGTTACAGAGAATTATTAAAGGCATATATAAACTACTTCCATAATCCATCAAGGTGTTGGATTGGTCAGGTCTACCTGACCACATTCTGTTTAATGACACTAAAAACAATATTCTTGAGTGTCTATTTTGTTACTCGTACTAGTAAATACCAGGATATCGAACAAATGAAAATTTCTATATGCACTAAGCGAAGACGCGTTAAAAGCGAATTTTGCATTTGCTTAAGAATTTGAAATAGCCTAGTTCCGTAGGTTTCATCCGAAAACCCAAGTAAACTGCAGATTGCCCTATTCGTTTCGTGTCGCTTATATCAAACTGCGTAATCCCATATGTGTATGAATCGTATGCACGAAGAGCTGTTACAATTATGAAAAATATAAAATAACCACATGCATTGTAAACTGATTCATGTGTGGGTGCATCAAAGCATTAATACATACATAGTAAGAATGAAGAGAGAACATTATTATGGAGTGTAAGCTAAAATCATATTTATGAGCAAAAAGACACATTATACATAACAAGTGCAATTTTTGCCTCTCGGGGTGCTTAAGTGACCTCACATCCTGCCTCTTACTTCCTCCAACTATGGTTGGCAAGCCAGTTTGAGGCAGTCTCCGGCTCGCAGCACACTTTCTTCACTCGCTGATTGACAGCGTTGCACACGCACCTTCGCTTTGTGTTGCGTGTTAGTGCATCGCTCACACCACGAAATGCGACTGGTTTAAAAAACACTTCTTTTCTTTTATTTTTTAAGCTTCTCGGACACAGAATGCTTCGCAGGTGATATTTGACGTGTTCGGTGGTCCCGGGTGAGTTTTTTCCCCTAAGTTTATCCTCTGCCTAAGGACAATGCGCTTAGGGGGTGGAAGAGTCCGGTGGGCGCCGGCGTGCATGAGAATGTGTGCGCGCTTCTGTCACTGAAATAACGGGATCAGATGTTTCTATGTTCCTGCCGTGCTAGACAGTTGTGTAAAATTTAACCGAGAGTTTAGTTAAAAGTCTTGATTTCTTCTCAGTCCCGGATATTTTTGTTTAGAAATGTAAATGTTATGATTTGTGTGAAAGCCCGCAAACTTGTTCCAGGATGGAAACTTCGTAGCTGTTAAGTGTTGGCAAGAATGTTTTGCACACCTGTGTTGAAAAGTTCCGATCAGTGATCGTCTTAAGAAAGCACGACGAGACGTCGTAGACGTTTGAAAATGCCGTCGGGGTTTCGGCGTAAGAAATAACACGTATTTGTGACATTTTGGAATTCAGTTCAAAACCACGTTTAAGATCACTTTTGCATATTTCTGTAATAGTCATATAAACATTTGTATTACACTATGAACGGCTGCTGATATTGCTCTTTAGTTATTGGTCTTAAATACTATAACAAAACTTAAAAAATGTCAAAGCACTTGCTTATGCTTACTACAAAGTTATTGCATACATCATTTCAGCAAACACCAGTGTTCAGTGTTGCTTCACGTTAAGGTACAGAGTTTAAACCAGGCTTGACTTGACTTGCTCTGAATTTACTTCATTCCTGTCACCTACATTCCTGATGCAACGCATTTTTTTTGTGCACACATACTGACGGGTATCTACGTTGTACTAATGACAGGGCTGAATGAAAAAGCACTGCAGAGTATTACTGAAATGTAATATTATTATAAATCAATCAATCGACTACGTATCCAGTACAGTGTTGCAGGGGAAGCTGGAGAATAGGGAAGAAGACGGGGGACCCCCTAGATGGGATGCCAGCCCATCACAGGTCACACACCCCTGGAAATTCATATTATTATTATCACTGTGTACTAAGGGTGCACTAACATTTTGAAGGTTTTAGCGTTAAGTGAAAGTAAGCTACTTTTAAAGGGTATAGTTAAATTATGAATTATTATTATGGGATGTCAAGTAGCATGAACTCATGGCTCATAAATCCAAACTGCCGGTCCAAACTATACATATGTAGATTTTTTTTATGTACTTATAAAACAAACTTTTGAAGACCTGAATTGTGTGAAGCCTAATGACTCCAAAGAAAATGATGCTTAAAGGTATTTATGTGAGTGTTTTATCTGTGGCTTTGCTCAGATAACCCCTAACATTTAAATATGTACAAATAAGCAGTAATATAACAGACAGTAACAAGAATTTCTTCTGCTCTCCAAAAAGCTACTGATACCTGGTTTGTTGGCCACCACCCCAGCCATGCAATGTACAGTATTTGTTAAATTTCACCACCAGCTCATTAAATTAATGAACGTAATTAGTTTATTTACTTCGAGAGGTGTTTTTTTATCCAGACAGGTTGGGCGAGGTCAGGAAATACTTATTAGGGTGACTTGAGAAGAGGTTTTGAAATGGCTTTGCTGACAAACCTTGACAGATATAGTAAAACTAAGGATACATAAATATAATTTAAACACAGTCTCATTCTGCAGCTGAAGAGTTTTGCATGGTACTGTAAACAAACTCTGTTCCCGAATATCGAGTCTTTTATATTGTAATGTTTGAAAGAACTTAGATAATGTGTCTCATAAGAATATAAAATAGAGGCAAAAGCCATGTGATCACTGCAAAGTATTTGGGGTCTCTACATGTTCTTGTGAGAATTATTGCTAATTTGGTTTGGCTAAGTTGCCTTGGATGACTTCCTCTTTTTCCTTTGTAGCATATTTAACATGTACGATAAATCTCTGAAAATCAGAGTGGATGTTACACAGGGAAGCTTTTAAAGAATGATGGCCAAAATGACACAGACTATAGGCATGGCAAGGTTCACAGTCATACAGCAGATTTGGCTTTTTCTTGCATTCGCTTTTCTGTTTCCTTCACAGCAAAGTCTCTGGAAGTCATCTTCCATCGTCCTTTCCGCCTCAGTTCAATGGGCATCATGTGGCACAGTTTGGTTTCAAGTTTAAATGCTTATCAGCACCAAGTCTGGTTCATTTCTTATCAGAGTATGAGTGAAGCTAAGGGGAACCTCGTCCCTGAACCTTAACAACAAGGCTGCTGAGTTTAGATACTAGGAAACTGCTGAATGGAGATTGAAGCGCATAGCAGAACACTGGTATGAGATATAATGAAAATGAAACTCGAATGTTCTACATTGGTTTCGCCATAGACTTTTTTGGCACATCTTGTACACGTCAGTCCCCACTTTTCAGCGTGCTGTCTGGCTCATAGAGGAGGCGATACCGATTTTGTTTGCCTTTTAGGCTGAATGTACAGGAATCCGGAGGCAGGCTGCTGTCACTGTGTTGTGAAAGAACAGTCCGGTAATCTTACGCCAGAGAGGAGCCGTCTTGCTCTGCAATGATAGTTGGACCAGTCAGCTATTCACAGACAGACCCAGATTAGTTTTTACTAAACTACTGTAGAAGATGTTCCTTTCTGTAAGTTATTCACTCCGTCAGTTACTTTGTCTCCAGTCATTTTACCTCAGAAGACGCGGTCTTCCATCCCTAACACGAAGCACACTCCCGCTGAACCGTTGTCTCACCAGAACAACTTTCACAAGCGTACTGGGGGTTGAGAATCAGCGGACTGGAATCACTGGGGCAATTCTGTCGTGAGCCAACTTGTGACGGGCAGCGCAGACGCAGAGGTGGCAAAACCTGTCGTTAAAATTCCTCCGAAATCATAAAACGTGTCAGGAAGCCGCATCATCTGTGGTGCTGCCAGGAGTTAATGAGGAGGGCAGCGATAGCACTGGAGGTGAGCAGCGTGTTCCGGCATTTTCCTTCATCAGCTCTGACTCTGCCAGGCTTTATGAGTTCTCTGCCGATATCCACTCCGAACTGGGTGAGAGAGTAACACCGGTTCACCCTGGGGGCTGAAACTGATCCTCGCACAGAGATAACAGTCTCATTTATGGAAATTCATCCTGCCAAAATGACATTGCTCAGCCCTAGATACTGCTCAGGTTGGACAATGATTTGCACAATCCCCTTACACAACATAGTAAGGAATCCAACTGGATTTAAGAATAAGTGATATACATATATGTCTAGTATGTCCAGCTCCATGGTGTTGACCGGCCCGCTGTCAATATAGCTCTATCTGTCAAAACATTTAAATGTGGAATAAAAGAAGTGAAAAGGTTTGTTGAGGTAGAGATCATGCAATGGAATAGTATAGATCTTTATTTGGGTTGCCAGGGTTCCATGTGTGTGGAGTCTGCATGTTCTCCCCGTGTCGTCGTGGGGTTCCCCCCCCGCCCAAACACATGCTGAGGTTAATTGGAGTTACCAAATTGCCCATAGATGTGCATGTGTGATGAATAGTGTGTGAGTGAATGGTTTGTGAGTGTGTGAGTGAATGGTTTGTGAGTGTGCCCTGTGATGGATTGGCACCCCATCCTGGGCTGTTCCCTGCCTTGTGCCAGTGTCCTCCAACACACACCCCCCCCCCCCCCCCTCCCGACTCTGAAAAATACAAGCGGTTACAGAAAACAGATGGATAAGATCTTCATTGTTACTGTTCATAGAGCAGCAAAAATTCATATAGCAGCAGTCCAGTCAAGTAAAAACATATGCAGAGCTGCAAACGCCACATAAAGAACAGGCTTACAGGGATATGCACACGGTGTAGATGTAAACATGCACACATCGATTGTACAAGAAATAGAAGTAAATGTCTTGGGTTGTTCCCTGACCTTTGCCCACAGATACGCTCCAGGCCAGCAGCCATCCGGCATTGGGCAAGCGGGTACAGAACATGGATCGATGGATGGTGGATAGAAGTCGAAAATGTAGAGCAAATTACATACATTATCCAGTATACAGAAGTAATGTTTTAATTAGTGCGAAATCGACACCAAAATGATTCCGGCATGGTGAAGTGTCCCAAGTCAGTGCTCACTGAACTGCAGGATGGAACCCTGACAGCTGTGGGCAGAAAGATGTTTTTCAGTCTGGTTGTGTGGGCATGAATAGACCAGTAGGGTTTCGCAAATGGCAGGAGTCTGAACAGGTTGTATCCAGGGTGACGTGTGTCTCCCATGACCCTGAGAGCTCTAAGGTAGCGGTGCTTGGTGTTGATTTTGTCCGGGTCAGGAGGTCTTATGCCTCTGATGCTACTGCCGACTTCACCTTCACTGCTGAAGGCGAAAAGCGATGTGGCGGATTCTGAGGGATTTCTGACTGCAAATCTCTGTCTGTGTCGGTCATGTTTAGTGTCACCAGTCTAAGTCATTTTTTTTTCCCTCCCAGTTTTGTGTATATTTTGCTCCACTCTGTAAGCTTCCAGTTTACAGGAAACAGGTGTCATTCATTCTTGTTAAGGTGGACTCGCAGTCCGAAATTTTTTTGCGCTTATAAATAAATTATCCAGCCCAAGTTGCATGTATCTGACTTTTAAAATGTCAGCACAAAGCGATAGCACAATGAACGAATTTCATTGATTTATACATAGTGACTGAGACATAAACCTTTGAACCGGCTTGTAAGGTCCTTCCTTAGCTTGCGGTGGAGAATCTGAAGTTTCTAAGGCAGGCATTTCGCACTGCGCACATCCACTGATTCACCCTTATGCCTTTTGAGTACTTCGCTTGCATGCGTACGTGTGTCATGCAGTAATTCAGGCACTCGTGTGCTTATATGACACCTATGATGTAATAATGTGCTAAATGCCATTTATCCTTTGTTTTATTGTAGTAGAAAAGCTATGATATCCTGTCAAACTAATAACTTAATTTTTTATTTATACGTCTCTCTTTAAGTCAGCCAAACAGAATGTCCCTGTTTGTGATTGTCGCACACAATCACAAACAATCACAGGTAAGGCATGCAGGTGGATGCGTAATGAGGTATCAGCTATTACTCATAAGGTGATCATTTGTTCATTATTTACTAATTGATGTGAAGCTGCATGTTGCTCAATCAGGCTTGGCTTGGACAGGCTTATAAAGGTTTTGTTTCAGGGATTAGTGTGCGAATAAAGAGGATTAGCGGCGATGGGGCGTGAGCTTTTGCGAGTCTCCGGTACGCACGCACTGGACAGTGCGCAGCAGTAATTTTCCATTAGGGCTGTGGGTTCCCAGCCTGAATTTTTGTGGGGTGGGTTATTTAGTTACACTTTGCCGGTGCTTTCTCACCTCATCTGCTTGCGTGTGAATATTCCCTGAGGTAGTCAGGCCTCTTGGTAATCATATCGGATAGACTGGGCACCGTCTCGTATAACTTGCTAATCTTGTCAGCAAATCAGAGATGAGACTTCATTGCACTAACAGTTGGATAATTATATACTATAAACATAAGTAACATAATGACAGAACCTGGCTGGGATATTCTTTGAGATAGATTCTGCCCTTATTGATATTCCCCGGGCACTAGTCTGGAATATCAGTTGAGATTTACTTGTGCATCTGATTCACTGATAATAGGGCTGAATTTGAGTTCTGAGGGAAAAGTGCTGAGTGTGAGTCAAATTTCATCCGTCTATCCGTCCATCCATCCATTTTCTGTACCCACTTGTCCAGTGGAGGGGCATGGGTACCCTGGCAGACTAAGGCAGCCCAGCACTTTACTGGGGCCCTTGAATATGTAAAATTCTAAGTAAAATCGGGCGGGGGTGACATTTTTTCGAGGGCCCCAGAAGTTCTAGGTACATTCCTGCCCCTAAACAGAGTTGCGGGGGTCCAGAGCTTCTCAGGAGCAACAGGCACAAGGCAGGGAATAACCATCAACGGACTCGTAACGTAAACTGTTCTCTGTTCCCTTGTGACATTGTGGGCCATCGGATGCATTTTTAGGTCGTGTGTCGTTGACAGACTTGCTGATGCACTGCTGCATGGTCTAAGCTGAAGGAAGCCGTTTTGTTGACCTGCAGGCCACTTTTTCTGGTGTTTTCCTTCCCCCAGGAGACTCCTGCTTGACGCGCAGAGAGACGGCACTGTTGCAGCTGTAGAGCCTCGGGCTGTGGGCGGGGCGGTAAGCACAATCGCCGCACTCTGATTCGCCGGCCAGCGGCTGTCAAAATCCTGTCCGTCCTCCCGGAAAGGTGCTTACGTGGGCACAAGAGATAAAACAGGCCAGCGTGGTGGACTGGGTAGCCTGGAATGTATCCCAAAGAAGCCCAAAAGCACCATTTGTACAACTTCAATAAAGATAGATATTTAACTATGTGTGGTGAACTTTATTTAGTGGAGTTTGCGGTGTTTATTTTGTGTTAGTGGAGTTTTCCTCAGGGTCCAAAGACAAGCAGTTGAACAAATAGGTGTCTCTAAATCTCCTGCAGTGTGTGATTGTGTGTTTGTGCAAGTATCTCCCTGGCAATAGACTGGCATCCAGTCCAGGGTTTCTCCTACCTCAGGGTTTCTCAACCTGGTTTTCTGGGACAGCCAGACGGTCCACATTTTTGCTGCCTCTCAGCTTCCCTGCCAGACAGTCTCCGGGTCCTGAGCACCGGGTTGGGAAACACTGTCCTACCTCATGCCCTGACCTTCCTGGCATCGGCTCCAGGGCCACCATGACGCTGAACTGGATACGCGGTGGGAGCAGAGGAGGATAGTTCAGGTCCAGAAAGTAAAAATCCAGGCCAAGATTTTCAACCAGTTGAGTACTCTACCTGTGACTCTTCATGCTGAACTAGCTGGTTGAAACTAAACCTTGGTCTGAATTTTTACTTTCTGGACCTGAACTACCCACTTCCGGATGGGAGGGTATAACATGGTACGTGACGGAGGAGGCTTGGTCTACGCCTGTGTTAGCTGGGTGATAGAGAAGACCGGGTCTCCCTCTACGAAATGTGGGATTGGCACCCCCTGGGTCCACTGGTCGGTTGAAGCAAAATCTTGGTCTGGATTTTTACTTTCTGGACCTGAAATTTCCACCTTTGTGCTGAGGAGGCACACGGCCAGGTCAGCCTGGGAGAGCAAGGCCCGGGAAAGTGGCTGACTTACATCTGTGCTCTCTCTCTCCACATCCATTTTCCAGCCTAAGGGCAGATACGCTGTGTCTCTCCTGCCCAGCTATGTTCATGTTCCGTTCTTTCAGTGGAGAATTTTGATTAAAATGGATGTTATAATGTCCTGGCCATGGAGCTGGGGGGTTAAGGGCCCACAGACGTGGCTCTTCTACTGAGGCTGAGCTCAAACTGACCACCTTCCGCTCACAGCCACAGGGGCAGTGCCCGCTGTGCCACGCGCTGCTATGCCGTTATGACGGCTTTGCTGACAAGCTGAATTGCCGCCCCGAGCTGGACTGTCGTCACGTCCATGGTGCCTCCCTCTCCCTGTGCTGCATGGGATTGGCTCCAGGCTTATTTGTGACTCTGTACTGGATAAATGATTGGAGGAGCAAGTAAACCGTCTTACCCGAGGGGCTATTGATGCGTTGGGGGTCAGAGTTTAGGCACATTGACCCTGGCTCCCGGTACTAGGGAGACTGACCAGGAGTTTTATATCGTTAAGAACGCAGTGATGAGCGATCACAAAAAAAAAAACAAATCACCTACAAATAACTTAATGCAAACAGGTGAAACTATTAATAAAAGCCAGAAGTACACCCATGTTTTTTTTTTAAAAAAAAGCAAAAGGCTATATCAGAGTTTTTCAAAAGCAAACAGGCAAGTGGATTTATTGCCCCTGCCCCCGGTGTGGCGTGTTCCACGGCCCATGTGATTCACCGGCGTAATGCAGCCGGAAGCGCCTGCTAGTAGGAGAAGAGTGAGAGCGTGTTGTTACTGGAGAGGGGGTCCAGAGCGTGGGCTCCGTGAGCTGCCCCCCCCCCCCGCTGTGTGACTCTCCCCCAGAGCGCTTGACACGGTCACCAAGTCCTGTTCACGCCGGCATGCTTGGACTGTCGCCTGTTCCCTTTTTAATTAGAACCCCCCTCCCACTGCGCCAGTAAGCGCTGATTCATGGGGACGGGGGCATGCGCTCCATGCTGCGTGGCCCCCGCCAAGCGTGCTGCCCTGCTGGGTCTGTGCCTGATAGTGAGCTGGCACAGGTTTATAGGTGTGTGTGTGTGTGTGTGTGTGTGCGCGCATGGGCTTCAGCGCGTGAGTTTGTGGTCTGAGTGAGTCTGGGGATGATCGAGGGGCTCGTGTGTATTAGAGGGCAAATAAAAACATCCACCCATTTTCCGGCACCTCTTGTCCTACTGTATCCCACAGGCTATGGGTACGAGGCAGGGAATAACCCAGGATGGGGCGCCAACCCATCACAGGGCACAAGGCAGGGAATAACCCAGGATGGGGTGCCAACCCATCACAGGGCACATACACACCATTCACACCTACGGGCAATCTGATAACGCACATCAGCCTTAGTGTGTTTTTGGACTGTGTGGGGAGGGGGGAACCTAAGTATCCAGAAGGTGCCCCATGACATCATAGGGAGAACATGCCAACTCCACACACATGTGATCCCAGCAGAGATGCAAACCCAGGTTTCAGAGGCATGAGGCGACAGTGTTAACCACTGTGCCACCGTGCCACCCCTCATTGGGGGGGGCTTTCCACAATACAGCCCCCGCAGTTTCAGTTTTTGTATTAAATTAATTGATAGCTCTCATTATTCAAATTTATTGTTTAGTTGCCCAAGAAAGTGTCTGAAAAACATCAGAGTGCAAATGCATGCATGTTTAAGTTTGAACTAGTAGTAGTCATGTTTTTGTCCAAAGTACATTTTTTTGAGGAGGGTCAGTTAGGCATTAAGGACCACGGTGGTGAGGCCACTCCTCTCACCGTGGGATTCAAACCAGCAACCTTCTGATCATAAGTATGCCATCCGACCTGCTGAGCTGCGCTCTGTACTGGGAGGGTGATGTCTTTGCAGTCTCTAAGGATGACATTTTGAGAGCAGGCGTTTCAGGTTTGCCTGCTCTGTGAGGCCCTTCTTGGGGGACATGTCACCTGACTGGTTATGCTTCCCTTCCGGGCGTTCCCCTGCCCCATACCTCCAGGGCTGGGTGTTTTATTCCCGCCCCCAGTTTTGTGTGTAGAGTTTGCATGTTTGCTCCTGTATGGATGTAACAGACAAGCCTGATTTAAGATGATGGCTGCCTCGTTGTGGAGGGACTCAGAGAATGCATCGCAAAGCAGCCAAAGAAACATTTGGCCAGCTTGTAACATTTCATGTGATACAGCTTAATAAAAGTAGATCTTTAACCGTGCATGATGACCTTTATTTAGCTCCATTATATAAGATGTTATGCTTCTAGATCTATGGGGGTGGATATGAAACGGCATCCTGTCCAAGGTGCTCCTGGCCTTGTGAACTGTGATTTCTGATATGGGGCTTCAAGCTTAAGCGGTTAAGGGTATGTATAGATGTATAAGGACGTTGTGAGATGAAGTGTGACTTTGAGGCCGGAAAACAGCATCAAAATGTGTGTGGCTGATCTGGTATTTTTATATCTACGTTCAATTATTTGCCTGATGCCTCTATAGTGGAGATGAGATTAATATTAAACTGCTTTGGCTCAGGCGCATGTTCAGCAGAAGGGGTGAGCCCCATGCCCCATGCCCCATTTATGAATGGTTCCCACCAGGATCTGACCGTTCCATTCCGAGCAGTGGGGGACTTTGGAGTCCTTGGGTTTTCTGCTCCTACTGTTGGCTGCTATTCTGGATGTGATTACAGGAAAAAGGAAACATTCTTTTCGACCTGGCAGGGATGGGATAGGACTGGGAGGGTAATTGGGATGAACATAATTATGTCAACTTGAACCCCTCCCCCCCCCACCACGCCTCACCTCTGTCCCAACATTGATAATTGAACCCCTGTGGGTTGCTCTCCCGAAAGTTGGGGGCCTCCCGCGGAATGTGATCCAGTAGAAGCAGGACCTGTCGACGACTCCTTAAGCGCTCTCCTGATTGGCCAG